CATGGTGTGTAGTACGATAAGTAAGGGACCGGTCATAGTACCCCAGATGGCCATACCCATCAAGAAATGACTGACACGCTGCTCGACAACAGCAGTAGCCTTGACAAATGGCTTACGGATCTCACCACCGTCTTCCGTTTTGGTGATCTCCAGCCTAGTTTCGTAAACGGTCAAAGAGTCTGTGTGTACGGGTGCTTGCGGAACCAGGCCGTTGGGAAGTGGGAGGCCGATGACGCCACCAACAAAGCATGTGCAGCCGAGAAGGAAAAAGTCCCAGTGAAAACCAGCGGGCTTTTTGAGGGGATACTGGCGTGCCTGTGCTGTGAGGGATGACACGTTCTATGGTCAAGGGTTAGCGTTCGCCGATGCTAGAAAACGTGTTATGACTTACGTGGTCGTAGTAGAACAACAGCATCATCAAGAAGCCAAATGGCAAAGCCACGAATACCCACTTGACGTCAAGATTCCAGAAGTCAATTATCCAGTTTCTATCTTGCGTCGGTGCAAAGGCCTTGCCTATAGGCACTCGGTATAGCCCAGTCTCCTCCAGACGTCCAGGAATATGCGAGAAACCGACCCAAAATAGGGTAGGGAAGACGAAGGAGTAGTCGGCGATGATGCTACGAATGCCTGGGGTAAACACCGTACTGCTACCAAGCTTCTCGAGGCCATAGACGGAGCCGAAGTAACATATCGCAATGACGATGGAGAGGTAGCCACCGTCAAAACCGGATTCTTGGAACAGATATACTAGCTCTTCAACACCCTTGACTGGATGCAGGTCAATATCGTATCTTGATATGGCCAGTGACTAGATACATACCACAGTAGATAATTCCAACATACATGCCGAACGTCTCACTCGAGAAGTCGGTGACATAGGCCATGTAGTCGCTGAAGTTTCCGAAGGCTACGATCCAGTGAAAGATGGCAGCCCAAATTCCAACCCACGCGGTAAATGCTGGATAAATGGAAGGGTCATATTGGGTAACAATGTCGTAGATGGTGTAGTTGAAGAGCGCGATCAGACCAGTGACTCCTACGATGGTGAGGGGTTGGCACGCGAGCAAACTAAACACCATGGCTGCTAAAGCAGACGAAAAGAGGGCTTCGTTGATGCCAAAGAACCCGCCCGTTCGACGGTACATGTCGAGTGTGAACGCAATGGCAGGCAATACGCTACATTGGTCAGTATAAGACTTGAACGTCTATCGAGATAGACTTACTTTACGAAGTACATGCGAACTGTACTGGCGAAAGCCCTATACGTGAGCGCATCGGTTATGTCGCTCCAGTAATAAGGTAGTCTCCTCTTGACATCGTGATACATGCCGCGACCAGGTTGGAGAATGCGCCATCTCCGCCATCCTCTCGCGCCTTGGAAGGTGTAGGATTCGTGTGTTGCGGTCCTCTCTAGTATCTCCTTGCTGTTCGAATTTGTCGCGTCTGGCGAATCCATGATGACAGATATGCAAGTTGAATGGACTACAAACGGGCAATGGATGCGAAGCCGCAGAAACTAAAGCTGAAGGAAACCGATCGACGCAATAGATGTGTGCATAGTTTGATCCGGACCCTGAGCATCTAGTCTATATACGCGGGATCAAGTCCAATTACAGAAGCCGGCGCACTACGGCCCCAATGTCATAGCTAAGCTTGGCATCTGTGGAGATCGAGGGTTTGCCATCGATGGGCGGACTGCTTGTGCGCGGAAGGAGACATGATGATGATGCTTACCTAGGTAGCATGAAGACATTAGACAAAGGCGGATGCTTGTCTTGAACGACAGCCTATGCGCTTCCGACAGGATTTCGTTGTGGTTGTTCGCGATAAGCATGTTCATTGTTGAGACATGTTTGGTTGTTTGGTGACGTCTGCCGGAGTAGAGGCCTCGCGCACGTGGTTAGCGTGGCCGTTAGTTCCCGTGCCATGCTGAGGAAGGTCGCCATTAGCCCTGTGTTGCATGGGAGCTAAACCACTCGAGAACCCAACAGACACCATCAGCCCTGTCGCCTGCGGCTTTTTTCTGTCTGCTCGAGCAGCAAGTTCGATGGTCTGGGTCAACGTGCACGTTACAACCCAAACTCTGCAACCACGACCATCGTCTGCATGGCACCGTGCAGCTGTGACATTACTTCCAATTGGTCCAGACGTCTGTACCACACCAAAATGACGTACACGGCTCGCCGAGCGTATGACTGACGCCAAGCGCCATACCGCACGCGGTCAAGAGCGTTTCCATTCCACCCCGGTATCTTTAACAGCTGCTTGAGCAGAATTTCCATCGGCATCGTCACGTTTCCGCGCGCTCCTATTGCGGCATATAGAAAGAGGTGAACAGAGTCGCGACATTGCGACATTCGATCCGGTTAGACTTCGGACAGTTTGTTCAGCCCATGAACAGTCCACCGACCTTCCATTACCGCACGTCTGTAGCGAGTGTTGTTTCGCATACTGAGGTATTTCTATGGTACGGAGATACCTCCACTGTAAAACTTCTAGTGGGCATCGTGGTAGGTTTTAAATATATCACCCACCTACCCGCGCAATGCTCAAGCTTCTTAGCGTCCGGTGTCAACTCCACAGGCTTAATTAATCGTCCGGAGTCTTATCGATATACCTCCTTAAAATGAACGCTCTCCAGGACGTCGATGGACTTTCAGAATGCATCGGCAAGGCGATCCAGGAACATCTTGCTAGATTCAACATCAACATTGCATGGCCGCAGCTCGACAACCTGGATCATCCCATCCTTCGTGTCGAGGCTTTTCTTGAGGAAGCCGATGCCACCCATGCAGCGAGAGCGCAGTCCGAAAAGATCGCATCGGTGAGTTACGTTCCCACCACACTCCCACTGCCAATGTGCAGTAGCGTATGCTCACGCGTCCACAGAGAACCGTCGATCTGGCGGGCATGAGGACGCCAGCCCCCACAGCAAGCCCAGCCGCAATGGATCTTCAGAACTTTGATGAGACCTCGTCAATGGATGAGTCTCATTCGCGGGACGAGTCGTCCTCGTCGGTACAACAACCCCGCGAGCCCCGCAGGAAAGGCACTGGCGGTCTGAGGGTCTCGCACACTCAGTCGTCGTTTCAAGAAGATCTGAGCGAACACCAACGGCAAATGCAAGTCGATAGCCGCAGCTTCCCAAAGCGGAAGAAGGTACGTGGATTTTCCTAGGCGACATCGTTCTCTCAGGCACTCGCCAGACCCTCAGTGGGGGTACGAGTGGGCTGCTTTTTCTTGCACGAAATACGCGGTGCACATATCCTCACCCATGTTGACCTAGCTAATTATCCCAGGTAGCATCGGAGAAGTTTGTCTTCCAACCCTCTACTCTAGACAAGCTTATCATCGGCATCTGGGAGCAAGTACACAGCACGCTCAACCTCGATCCGAAAGCAATCTTCGAACAATTCCAAGTAACGCCCAATGGATCCTCCATGAGTATGGGCATGGTCGGCCATGCGCACACCGATGAAACACCTTCCGCTATGGCAGTACTCAACAACGCTCCGAATCCGATATCCGAATCCTTCAGTCAGATGAACGTCTTTTGTCGCAAAGTTACACAAGCGAGTCGCGTATGCCGATCCATCGAAATGATCGTACAAGCCCGCTGGGTCGAGCTGTTTGAGGAGCAGGTGCTATACCGGAGCCAATTGAGACCAGAGCTGTCAACAACAAAGCATAGGAAAGCTGTGTTCATGGAAGCGTGTCAGGACTTCGATTGGTCGGAGTAAGTACATACACCTGGGATTGCGCAAGCATCTTAGATCGCATTCGCTGACTGCTGTGCCACTCCAGAAAGGAACTGCGCAACAAAATGGCTATTTGGCGTGGCTACAAAGAAGTGAAGGATTCAGCAGGCTGGGCTGCACTTGTCTTCGCTGGCATGGGCATATACCGGTTCTGCAAGTACCGAGTTGGTTTCGATAAAGATGCCATGCGCCGGCTACGGAATCTGCGAAAACGTCTCGAAGTCGCGGCCGATACCCTACATCCCCATTGGCGCCAGCTCTTGTCTATAGTAGGCGAATCGCAAACGCTGCAATACCCTGGACATCCGCACGACTGGGTAGTTTTCGAAGACGGATCAGATCCTGTGCCACTGCGCCAAACGTATCTGCTCCAAGACCCTTACTTTGCCTTCGAACACATCGACGAGTCGATCATCGATGAATCAGTTTGGGGATGCGAAGACCCACGCTGGACACCACAGTCGAGCGCAGTGACAAGACCAGGCGGAGCCTACATCTGCGCTTTGTGTAACGAGCCGCAATCCGACAAACCGCAAGACAACTCCTGTTTCTGTTTCCCGACCCTGTTTGGCTGTGTAAAGCGAAAGCCACCACCTGTTCAGATCCTGCGGACTTCCGATGGGAGAAACAACGGTCTAGCTGCATTGACCTCCTTCGACCGTGGTACAGCAATCGGCGAGCTGGTTGGCCTGATCACAAACGGTGTTAGACATCTCGATGTGCTGGATAGCTCAACACCCCTGGCCAGCTATCAGATCTGGCAAGGAAGGGCAGGAAACTTCACTCGCTTCATCAACCACAGCTGTAAGCCGAATGCGCAATGCTCTACATTCACTTGGATAGATACCCAGAGGGTGGTTCTGGTCAGCAAGGGGATAGATGCGGGAAGAGAGATTACATTGGACTACGGAGACAAGTATTGGGCTGGGCTAGACAAGAGCTGTCTATGTGGAGAGAGTTGTTGCAGGTATCGGAGAGATGGAAGGATGAGATAACATTATTGGAAGCGACTTGTTATGTTTAACGCACACTTGATAGAATCCAGCGACCTTTTTAGATACTTGACTTGTTCGATCTGGGGCAAACGTCGTCTTGGTGCAATAGTCGCAAATGTTGGGTCCAGACGTGAAAGGCGCGTGTTGCAGTATCGATAAGACTAGCGCGACAGACCCCTGCACAAAATTTCGGAGACACTCGAACCTTAACTATCAGCGTGTCTGCGAAACATCAACAACAACCATGGCGACTTCCGATTACAGCGAGTCCGGCGCATCAGACCAGGAGATACTTGAGGCGCAATCTGGAGCCAGAAAGAGAAGGAGACTGTCACCGACCGAGCCCGAGAGTTCAGCTTCCGAGGCTGAAGCTGAGAAGCCGCTGCCAGTAGCAGCACCAGCACCAGCACCAACGATTTCGCGCATCAAAGCGAAACAGCAAGACAAGTCGACGAATACCGCCAGCTCCACACCAAAAGTGAACCCGAAGCTGGATTTTGCGACGCTCAATGTGGCACCATGGCTTTGCACCTCTTTGGCCAGCATGGGGATCAAGCGCCCAACGGGCATTCAGGCCTCATGTATCCCTGAGATCCTCAAGGGAAAGGACTGTATTGGTGGATCGAGGACCGGTACAGGTAAAACTGTAGCGTTTTCTGTGCCAATAATGCAGAAATGGGCGGAGGACCCCAGCGGCATCTTCGCCGTTATCGTCACGTGAGTACAACCCATTGCTGCCATGTGCGCAGTAGCTGATAGCCATGTAGGCCGACACGCGAGCTCGCAATCCAGATCTACGAACAAGTAAAAGCGATCTCAGCGCCGCAATCTATGAAACCCATTCTCATCACCGGAGGATCAGACCAGCGTTCCCAAGCCATCGCTCTTGCTTCGCGTCCCCACGTCGTAATCGCGACACCAGGCCGTCTAGCAGAGCACATCCGCACCTCAGGCGAAGACACCATCTGCGGCCTCCGCCGCGTCCGCTTCGTCGTCTTCGACGAAGCTGACCGTCTTCTCGCCCCAGGAAAAGGCTCCATGCTCCCCGATCTCGAGACCTGCCTCTCCGCTCTACCCCCCAAAGAAACGAGGCAAACTCTTTTATTCACGGCGACCGTAACGCCAGAGGTTCTAGCGCTGAAATCGCAACCGCGCGCACCTGGTCGTCTCCCCATCTTCGTATCGGAAGTCGATACAGAGGATCTAGCAATTCCGCCCAAGCTACAGCAGAAGTACCTCCAAACGCCCGTCACGCATAAAGAATGCTACCTGCACGTCCTGTTGAACACGCCCGAGAACCTCAAAAAGAGCGTCATCATCTTCTGCAACCGAACCAAAACAGCCACGCTACTAGAATACATGCTGCGTCTCCTCGCCCACCGCGTAACAGCCCTGCACTCGGGCCTCAAGCAAAACGACCGCGTGAGCAACCTCGCTCGCTTCCGCGCGCAAGCCGCTAGAATCCTAGTCGCTACCGACGTCGCAGCCCGCGGTCTGGATATCCCAGAGGTAGCTCTCGTTATCAATTTCGACGTTCCCCGTGACCCGGACGATTACATCCATCGTGTTGGTCGTACGGCGCGTGCGGGCCGTGTGGGAACGAGTATCACGTTGATTGGGCAGAGGGATGTGGAGTTGATTCTGGCGATCGAGGCGAGGGTGGGCAAGAAGATGGAGGAGTTTGAGGAGGAGGGGGTTAGTGTTGAAGGGAGGGTGGTGAGGGATGCGCTTAAGCCTGTGACGGAGAAGAAGAGGGAGGCGCTGTTGAGTATTGAGGAGGGGAGGGATGTATTGGGTAAGCGCAAGGTGGGTATGCAGAGGAAGCGGGCGGAATAGGTGTAGATATCTGATTGTGTGGATGGAAGATGGCATGGATGGGTCAAGCGGTATCATCTAGGGTCATTTCATACTGATGATATTCAAATAATACATATTGTATGCTCCTCGCTAGAACGCTGTAAATCGATACATGAAACAAGGTACGTTACTCATAACACTTGGCTGCTCACGGCGATCCCTTCCTTGGCCTGAATACTGTGTTGAAGTCTCTTTGCGTAACGAACCAAGCGTTGTGAGTCTTCCACTCAGCATCAGGGCGCTCGAGCTCGATCTGCAACCAGTGTTAGTTTCGTCAAATTCTTGGGAGTGTCAGTAGCGAGACTTACCTCAAACCTCCTCAGGAAACTCGGCACCAGCTTGTAGATCTCAAGAAGACTGATGTTCTTCCCGATACACGTCCTAGCTCCAGCACCAAATTGCAACATCGTGCCCTTCATTTCCTTCAGCTTATCCGGACTAGCCTCAATCCAGCGTTCAGGACGGAAGGTGTCGACATCTACACCGAACACCTCCGGCCGGCGGTGGACGATCCAAGCGTTGCATCCGACAATGGTGCCACCAGGAATGAATTCGCCGCAGATCTGCATACCCTGCTTGGGTACAACGCGCTCGAGAATAAGGCCAGGTGCGGGGTGGAGACGGAAAGACTCTTGAATGACAGCGTCGAGGTAGGTGAGCTTTTGGGCTTCAGGCCAAGAGACGGTCTTGTCAGGGCGAGACTCGACAATGCCATCTGCTACGGCGGTATCCAATTCTTGCATAAGCTTCGCATAGACACGCGGGTGCTTGACGAGGAAGTAGAAGACGGCTGACAGCGAGATGGCAGTTGTTTCCGAGCCGGCGAAGACCATGGATGTGCATGTTGACAGGATGCGATTGTCGTCCATGAATTCATGGTCATGGCTCGCTTGCGCAAACTTGGAGAGGAGGTCGATGCCATGAGGGTTGGCTTTCTCGTCGTCGGAGAGGCCGAAGCGCTTGATCTTCTCGACTTGTGTGGCTCGCTCGTTGGATCGGTTCAGGGCGAAGAGGGTGACGGGGTGGACACGCTTGTCCAGGCCGATGCGCTGTGCGAGGAGGCTGATGGGGTTCTTCCAGAGAAGACGGTCGAGAATCGGAATCTGACCGACCTGAAAACGCGTAAGTATGACCCCAGCCATGCCAGGTTCTGCTTGTGACGACTTACCGGTGCGACGTAGTCGAAGAACTTGCCCAAGAAGCCAATGATGTTATCCACGTCCTTGTTTCCTTCGACAAAACCCAGTCGCTTACTCCAAGTCAACTCGCCAATAACGTCAAAGGCGAAGAACTGCAGCCATTGACTGAAGTTGCAGCTCTGGCCAGTCCTCGCGTACATGTCCTCCGTCTTGTCCAGCCAGTATGTGAGTGTCGAGCTAACGAGAGGCTCGTAGTTGACGAGCGAACTCATGGAAAAAGCGTTGTTGACGCATCGGCGGTACTTTGCGTGGAAGTCTTCGTCGGTGGTGGAGAAGAGGGAGAGCAGCGGCGCGCCTTTTGAAACGGCGCCTTGGACGGGGTAGAAGTCAGACTGGAAATGTTAGCTGTCGCTCAAAAGATCGACCGAGACGTGCGTACCTTGGTAACACCCTTATTCAGCCCATAGATAGCCTTGATAGCCTTCGGGTCCGCGAAAGACAAGACGTTCGGTCCCAGCCTGACGATGTCTCCATTCTTGCGATGCAACGCGAGGTTGGTCCATTGATGATTGTGCTTCGACACATCCCACAGCCGCCACCAGTTGGTGTATCCTGCAGCCCAATGTCCAGGGTATTTGTTCAGGCCGTTCCAGTACTTGTTGTTGAGGAGGTATGCGATGGTAGTTGTAGCCAGAACAAGCGGCCAGTACTGCACCAGCAGCGGGACGATCTCGTTGGCCAGCATGTCGCGCGATCAATCTACCCGGTAATAAGGTATTCGATCCGGGGTCCAGATAACGGTAGCACGTGAGTAGGTATATAGCAGAGTAAGCCGCGCGACAGATATAGAACGCTCGCCCGGGGCAAAAGCTCATATAAATGGCAGCCAGCCGTCCGGCCTGTGCCGCCCACTTCCCGCGTCGTCAGGCAGTCGGGTCGGAGTCGGAATCGCCATCGTAACGCGTGTCTGGGTGCTTGCGCAGGATTGTGTGTGTCGGCAGTTGGTAGCTGAGGCGTGAGATGATGAAGGTGGGTCGGTGGCTGGACTGCAGCGGCTTGGAAGGATGACGCGGGGACAGTAGCTCCGGGGCGCCTTCGCGGGGTAAACCTCGTCCATCACACTGAACGCCCATCCTCAGCCCTACTCATTGGCCTCAAAACTCGGTTATCGCGATGCATCCAATTTATCTACCTGACTCTGATTGGCTAAATCGCCTGTGTACAATACCACGCGGGATTGATGTGATCGCAAACCCAAGTCTCTCACAACGCCTCCAGATTCGGCGCAGCATCGCCAATGTGCTCTGTGCTATTCTCGAACTGCCGATTATCGTCACTTCGACAGCTAAACCTTGTGTGAGACGATAGCGAGGGCTTGTGGACCTTCACCGTGTCGGCAGTTGTATTCGAATGTCATAACTGCAACTGCCGATATCTGAAGAGGGAATGGGCGCCGAAGCCTCCGAGGCTTCGTCACGTGGCTCCGGCTACATCTGGCCCTCGGCTGACATGTAACCTTTCCAGCAATTTGTGAGAATCATGAAATTCCATGTTCGTACGAGTCGTACAACGTAAGTGCGTTCAACAATCGGCAAAAATGTGCGCAATTTGTGTGCAATGCATGGTCTAGAAGAAAGCTTATCAGAAGCTCAGATTGCGAAATATGCGCATGGGCTTTACCGTAATGGTGGACGAGCCAAGTGGCATGTCTTGCATATAAACATGGGCAAGACCAAAATGCGTAACCCGGATATATGCAAACCCAGCAGAATCTCGACGTCAGCGGCCCTACCACACTTCTCTTTAGCCTTCATCACACTCCGTATCACGAGATATACTCAGTTATCTAGTGCAACCTGATAAGAGAAGTGAAGATTGAGTCGGAGTCGTGCATAAGAGAGTTATGATCAAAGTTTTATATTGCTAGTATAGGGTAGTACTTCTTCTTGCACAATGTTGCGTCGTGCAGAAGTATTGACCACCATCTACAGCTTAGCCGGTGTTGAACCGACTGAAGCCATCCTGTGCTCCAGCACAACAGAACTATACTAGAAGGACGAGAACCAACACCCTGATCCGTAGGTGTGTGTGGCTGCTTAGCCAGTGCACTGGTAGTCGTAGTTCATGCGCGAAGCATCCGTATCCTTGGGAACATAAATAGTAACCCTCCTCCCATCCGCCTCAAGCGTACCCACATACGAGTCAAAGAACGGACGCCAGTAGACCTGACCAGTTCCACCAGGGCAATCAATGTTGATGGTAACAGACGTGGTGCTCGTCATGGTAGTCGAGAAGCCCGCGGATACGCCGATCTCTGCGCTGACTGCGTCCCATGCACTTGCACCCAGACTGGCGCTTGCGGTGATGGAAAAGGTCTCTGACTTTGCTTCTGAGACTGTGTAGGCGCCGTTGTTGGGGACTTGGGCGACGAAGACGGCGGAGCCGGGCATGTAGACGTTGTAGGATGTTACGACGTCTGAGAACCTATCCGCTTGCTGCGTCGTAGATGGTTAGCTTTCTGAGGAGCGAAGTGATGAAGCTGGTGTACATACTCGGCTCTCCAATTCATTGACTTCAGGTGCCGCGGCAATCTCCGCCACGAGGCTTTGAAGCTCAGCTTTGTTCTCCTCGACAGTAATTTCCTTGTAGCTGGTTGCTGTAGCCGTAGACATTAGGCGCCATTCAGTGGCGAGCCTGATGGCGACCTCGGTCCAATCCGCGGGTGGAGCTGGTGACTGATAACCACCCGTGTCCTCTGCGCAGCCGTCCTCGATGGCTCTGGCTCTTCCGCCCCAGCCAGAGGCAGAATCACAGACTTCATACTCCTCGTTGTTGCAGAATGAGATACGGCAGTTGCCTCGTGTCCAGATGCGGCATTCTCTTGGGATGACGCAGACACTCATGTCTGGGTTGGTGCCCTCACCAAAATAGCCGTTGCCACTCATGATGTTGCGGCCTGTTCATGGGAAGAAAACTTAGTATCGCTCTTCAATGTGAAGATGTTGGAAGCAAGAGAGGTCGGAGTACTCACAGTCAGCCCAATTGGGCTGCAATCTCGCCTCGCAGAAGATACCGCCAGTCTGCGTTCCGTCCCAGTCTTCTTGACGAGGAGCAATTGGGGAAGCAGTTCCCATTGCCGCAAGCATCGGCAAAAGGGTGAGAATGTAGTTCATCTTGTCGAAGATGGAGTTTTGAGGTCGAGGATAAACCAGGTGATCTGAGAAGAAGGTGTATGGCTGTGATGATGGGATTGAGAGCAAAAACATACCTCTTTATACCCTTCTGCCTTTTCATCTGCCTCACAAGCATCCGTGTATCCAGCGTCATGGCTGGCCTGACTATGCACAATGTCTACTATCGAACATGGGATGTGGTTTGCCTTGAACGAGAACCACAGCTCTGAAATCTAGCGATTGGTGCTCTCGTACACTATCGTTGATGTGCATACCTCTGGGGGCCAGAAGCAATGCGCTACCGAGAGTATACGATACTTGGCTGCTGTTATCCAGTGTCTTAGAACGATGGCCTAAGATTAGCAAACCTCGGGAGCCTCTTGCCAGGCAGAAGCATCCGAGTTTCCCGGTGGTGGTAGTTTTGGAGGAGTGGAGAAGGGGCTGATACGAAGACCTCAGATATCTCGATCGCAGGACGATATCACAGTCCCAATAACACTTCGTGGTGCCTGCTCCTCTAGGACTCCAGTGCCTTCCGTTTGTACGTCTTGCAGAAACATGACAGAGCAGGCGTCATGAGTCAAATGTTTTCCATCATACCATGTGTTCTCAAAGAGAATTCCACAAGACTGAGCCAACTTCCGCTTCCAGCTTCACCACACGCTCG